TAAAAAGTTCTCTAGAAAACAACTTATAACAAGTTCTCTATAAACAACTTATAACAAGTTCTCTACAAAACAACTTATAACAAGTTCTCTACAAAACAACTTATAACAAGTCCTCTATAAACAACTTATAACAAGTTCTCTATAAACAACTTATAACAAGTTCTCTATAAACAACTTATAACAAGTTCTCTATAAACAACTTATAACAAGTTCTCTACAAAACAACTAATAAAAAGTTCTCTAGAAAACAACTTATAACAAGTTCTCTACAAAACAACTTATAACAAGTTCTCTACAAACAACTAATAACAAGTTCTCTACAAAACAACTAATAACAAGTTCTCTACAAAACAACTTATAACAAGTTCTCTACAAAACAACTTATAACAAGTTCTCTACAAAACAACTAATAAAAAGTTCTCTAGAAAACAACTTATAACAAGTTCTCTATAAACAACTTATAACAAGTTCTCTATAAACAACTTATAACAAGTTCTCCACAAAACAACTAATAACAACTTCTCTACAAAACAACTAATAACAAGTTCTCTACAAAACAACTAATAACAAGTTCTCTACAAAACAACTTATAACAAGTTCTCTACAAAACAACTTATAACAAGTTCTCTACAAAACAACTTATAACAAGTTCTCTTCAAAACAACTTATAACAAGTTTAGCTAGAATAATAAAAATAGATATAGATATAAAAATAGATACATTGTAAAGAATAGGACAGGACAAGGCAAACTAATAACAACTAGATAAAACGAATATCCTCTGCCACACGAACACAACGTACGGCTACTAATGCCGGATGTAGCACGATTAACTGTAATCATTGCCCAGTAATTAAAATAGTAATTGCATACACGCAACTCCTCCAATTAAACATATTAACATAATGAATTAAACATATTAACATAATGAACCTGTTCATTATTAGCATTCTAGCGGAACTGGTTGTAAGTGTACTACTGCGTCGTTATAAATGAAATTGTCTTGTAAATGCAGGTTCTAATTCGAGAGTGTGTGTTGGTGAATAGTGTACATTCATTTCTGTGATGCATATTTGATTGATTTTAAGTTGCGACTGCTGCCTGAATGTGCACGTGTAGCACTACGACTCTACTACTACTACTAGTAAACTCTGCAGAAGAGTTATTTCAAACAAAAGAAGAAGTGAATACGGTAGTACTGCTGTTTTAACCATGACATAAGAAAGTTATCAACTTCAAAGAAATGATTACTTAAATGCGGAAGGAAAGCGACTCGAATAAACTTTCAACGACAGATCTTTGCAACAACGACAGCTGTTTATTTCACGGAACAATGATTGCAATACAGCATGGAGAGTGGAGACGGTATTAACAAAACCTTTTCCAACTTAAATCAATCATTTTGACTGACAATTGAAAAGTAGTATACTTCCTTTAAAACACAATTGTTTTATATTTCCAAAAAAGCTACAAAGATCAGAGGTGTATACGTCTCCTGGCTGATAAACAATTAAACCAGCTAAAACTGCTACATTGAGTGGGATGGAGTAAATAGGAACAGTGGCTAACCCGGTCACTGGACAAAGCAGCAACATTTTGTCACTAGGCACGTTTATCACGTACGAACTAACACAACACTAAACAGTGCATGCTTCAGATTCGAAAATAAACATCGTGTAAAAAGTATTCTAGAGAAATCCAACTTGAAAAGCAACGTCGTGACGTTGGCTGAGGTCGTCCGGACAGAATGTGTATAATTTTCCTGATAGCATGCTTATCATTGGTCTTTATATCCCGTCAATATTATACCAGCGCGCTTAAAATAGCACTAATCGGCTATCAAGAGAGTTTAAAAATATCATGAAAAGGAGTAAAAAATGTAAAACACGAAAGGAAATCAGGAAATCTTCAACAACAGATGGATGGTTTTGTTTGGTAAGCTCATGACGTAGAGAATTAATGATAGCCTCCCAAATCAAAAGAAATTGAAACCCCAGTAAATATAAATTTGCAATAGAAATGGTTTTGCTACTAAATACAGAAGCGTAAGATTCTCAAAGTCATGACGCTGAAAAATAAATAACGGAAATCCCACTATACATATAAAATTATAAAGGAGTATATAAAATTGAATGAAAGCAACTCCCTCGGCAGCACTGACCATTTCAGACGAGAGCTAAAGTTGGAATTGCATGTTATAAATGATATAAACGTCTGCAAGTCCTGAAAGTAAGCACAACTCTAATGAGTGTGCACGAAACAGAGAGCGGTAGACTCCGGCTCCTCTCAAACCCCTGCGCAGGAAAGCATCATATATAAATGTAATGTCTATCATTGTACTGTGTTGTCTAGTATAGAAGTAGTACTGAGGGAATCTCGTGGACTTTTGGGCCAACTACGTCGTTCTTTCTAAAAATAGAATTTACAATGAACAAAACTAACACGTCATGTGCTGTCCTGGTGATCTGTTACATCGAGAAGAAACGCCACAAATAGGGTGAAGAAGTAGTTTGCATTGTTTCGAAGCAAACTTAAACTATGTTACATGACTAATGACTATGTATTGGAGTTTGCAGTCCAACAACCTGGCCGTCATGGGACGGGTAAATAAGTACTGAAGTACTGAGAACGACGAGCAGAAACAACGAGTAGAAAAAATTAAACGAGTAGAAACAACAAGTAGAAAAAGATATTAGATTTATCTGACCCAATGATAATCACTCTAACAGGAAACATGTCACATTATTGTCACTGTTTATCACTGTTTGTCACTGTTTGTCACTAATTCTGTGACTATTCTGACAGTCCATACCTCACCAAGTAACGTGTACAACTGACAATGGCAAAGAAAACATGCTTCAAAACAATAAACCTTCGTTTACGTTTGGTTGAAGTTAAAATATCTAACAAAACCTTTGCAGATATTCTACAAAATATAATTTACAAAAATGAGGCACATTTCAAACAACAAAGAGTCCAAAGCGCCAACAGGCACGACTCAGTTGATATAGTAGTAATAGTAATACAGCAGTCATACAGCGGTCCTACAGTTAAACACCGGTCCTACAGTTAAACAGCAGTCCTACAGTTAAACAGCGGTCCTACAGTCATACAGCGGTCCTACAGTTAAACAGCGGTCCTACAGTTAAACAGCGGTCCTACAGTTAAACAGCGGTCCTACAGTCATACAGCGGTCCTACAGTCATACAGCGGTCCTACAGTTAAACAGCGGTCCTACAGTCATACAGCGGTCCTACAGTCATAGTACAGCGGTCCTACAGTCATAGTACAGCGGTCCTACAGTTAAACAGCGGTCCTACAGTTAAACAGCGGTCCTACAGTTAAACAGCGGTCCTACAGTTAAACAGCGGTCCTACAGTTAAACAGCGGTCCTACAGTTAAACAGACCTTCACCTAACTGTCAAGAACTGATATTAATGACGCGGTAATTGTATGATACGCGGATCTGTTCAACAAGTACGTGGCTATCGGAACTACACTAAACAGAACACTTTAACTATTACTTACTACTACTACTAGAACAGTGTACAAATAACGCTTATAATTAAGGACACGTAAATAAGCTTCAGAAAGTCTGGAAGCTGGCGTCAATAGCACGTACAATAAAGACAATTTAACAACAGTAAAATTAATAATAGTAAAAATAAACCATCTTTTTTCATGTGATGGATGGAAAAATAAACAACTGTAAAGAACGACCCTCCCACTAGGCCCACCGGATTACAAGAGGGTACTGTACGTTAACAGACGTTAACAGAGCCAGTAAAAGAGACGTAAAGGACTGTGTCCAGTACAGGAGTCAGATAATTGGAGCCGGAAATACGTCGTGTGGGGAGACATGTGACCGCATGTGTATACACACTACACACATTGTGTAGTTGTAGTGCGTGCAGTGTGTGTACTGTGTAGTATGTGTACACACTGTGTCCGCAGTCGGCGTTCGGCCAAAAATAAACAGGTATTCATAAACATTGCGAATTGCGAATGAACTAAAATATGGTCAGATATCATAAGTTTTGGATTCGTCTTTGTTTCCCTGTCCTAAGTATCGTATTGTTGGGCTGATGTCACGGATTCTTTGCATAACTTCGTGTCGAGCATTAGCAAACGAAACATCAGTTCAGAAACAGTAATACAGGAAAACAGCACAGTTTTATTTGCCGATGAATATGAGCTTTACAGAAGTAAAATAAGTAATTTTGAGAAGTCAAAACACGTACTTTACAGGGGATAAGTACATGAAATCAGGTCCTAAAACCATTCCTTGAGTAAGAAGTGACTACAGTGTAGTTACGTATAAGTAGCAGCGTTGCTTCATAACCACTTCTTTATATAGCCCAGTGAAGTAAGCCCACTAGTCGCTAGAGCGTTACTGTTACATTTAGCGTGAGTGAGATGTTCCGGACAATATAAGAATACAGTTACTGCTGTATTATTAGTATAGATAGTTATTGCTGTACAAATCACAGGCCCACGTACTGATAATTCCCTGCTCACCTCACATACAGTATACAGTATACAGTATACAGTATTGAGTATTCGGTTTTCAGTATACAGTATACAGTATACAGTATACAGTATACAGTATACAGTATACAGTATACAGTATACAGTATACAGTATACAGTATACAGTATACAGTATACAGTATACAGTATACAGTATACAGTATACACTATACAGTATACAGTATACAGTATACAGTATACAGTATACAGTATACAGTATACAGTATACAGTATACAGTATACAGTATACAGCTCCCTAATTCCCCCTATCTCCCCTCACATACAGTACTACTCTGTCAGTTGCACCTAAAACCATAACTGGGTTGGACGGGGAGGGGGATGAAGTGAGGTAGGGGGGAAGGGGGGGGGGGGGGGGGGGTGGAGGAGGAGTGGGATTATATGATATCAGTTAGCCCTACCTCAATATTATCAGTTTTAACAAAGTATCCCGTATAAAGTACAGAGTACTTACCTCCACATGTTGCTGCTCCGAGCTCAGTAGCTGGGAGTACGTGGTAGCGTTAAACTGATTCGTTGCTTCCTGAGGTAGCTACAGTCAGTTAATACATGATTACGTTAATTCAGTTACCGAACAGGGACTTAATTAATGAGTAACTTGTACGTAGGGTTATGCGGAGGGGACAGAAAGAGCCATTTTGAAGCTGGGTCCTAATTTAACAATATCCACAGTTTGCTGCTTGTTTAGGCTGAGTACCTGATAGGAGGGCGGCTGCTCGGAACTGATGGCTCTCCCAGGTCTGGGGTTATACATGTCCTCGTTGTGCATGCTACCATGACTACCGTGGTTACTGTACTCGTCCTGACTCTCCACCATCAGGGACCCCAGGTTATCAATTATAGAACAGTTCTGGAGAAAGAGAAACTGTCACTTTCTCCTCTTTTCAATAAAAACAGTGAGATAACAATTACTTTTCTTTCGTTACGAAGAAAAGAGAAACAGGAAAGTACAGGTATGATAAGAAAAATATCTGGTTAGAAATGAAGGTATTGAAAATAAAATCGTATTCCTCTTACCTCATCTACAACGTCATTGCTGGAAGGGTTACTATTAACCAGGCCCCCCGGAGAGATATGACTGTTTCTCAGGTTGTTCTGTTCCTCCAGTGACAAGAAGGGTTGCGAGGATTTCCTCTGGGGCTGAGAGGAGAGTACGCTCTCTGGGGAGGCCAACATGTCACCCTCACTGTTACTACGCTGTAACGGGTCTTTACCGCTGAAAGGGACTGGTTTAGTCACTAATCACTAATGTCACCCTCACTGTTACTACGCTGTAACGGGTCTTTACCGCTGAAAGGGACTGGTTTAGTCACTAATCACTAATGTCACCCTCACTGTTACTACGCTGTAACGGGTCTTTACCGCTGAAAGGGACTGGTTTAGTCACTAATCACTAATGTCACCCTCACTGTTACTACGCTGTAACGGGTCTTTACCGCTGAAAGGGACTGGTTTAGTCACTAATCACTAATGTCACCCTCACTGTTACTACGCTGTAACGGGTCTTTACCGCTGAAAGGGACTGGTTTAGTCACTAATCACTAATGGCAAATGATTCGCTGATGCCTGATTCGTAACGTTTATACTGTATACAACATTAATAAGCTTACTTATCTAACTTGTAAATCAAAAAGAGGAATAATTTTTTAATTAAACCGAACTAAAGTATTAAAATTAATTAACCTTGTTAAAGTAAAATGTCTGTAGAATAGCTAACAACTTATATTCCTACAAAGTCGTCTGTGTACGGACCAGATCAAAAACACTGTAACCAATAAGACGTAGTGCAACGAAACTATGAAGAACAATTTCTTGTAATCCTGCATGACGCCCAGTATAAATTGCTTGCCAAATATTGGTTTTGTTAATAAAACATGACTAACGATATTGTACTTCAACGTATTAGTAATGAGTAACAACAGGCAACGAATCAAACATTGTCATGAACAAACTGCTCCTTCATTAAGATCTCCAATAAGATCACGGATAATGTAAGGAAAGTAGTATTACTCAAGAGAGTGAAAAAGGAAACATATTACATGTAAAGTACCACCAAGGTAAAGTTACTAACCCCGTTATGTTTACTGAGTAAATTAGTATTTTTGCAAATGATGGGTAGAAGATACCGTTACTAGCAGTAAAGCTGTAAAGTGGTTAAGATTTTCGATACGGTTAATATTGTAATGGATATGTCTAATTATTTCACCCCTGAAAATAACACCTAAAATGAGCTCCGGAAGCCAAAAGCGAGGTTTATTTTGAAACTCGCACGTGCGTTGGAACGAAGAGAAAGTTAATGAAAATAAGGTTTTAAATACATTATGTGGACATGTATATTCGTCACTTGTGGTCGCGACAATACGAACAGTGTAAAACCAACAATTTTCACGGAGCCATAACATATTAAGTCGGATATTGTGTACCCCTTCTTTACCGAAGTTGTCAGAGGTCACATCGTACTTACAGTTTACACTCACTGCTAACAATATCACGTGATATGCACTCAAACTCGCACCAGTTGCAATTAAGAAGCCGAAATTTTTGAAAAAGCAAAATTTTTATGTTTTTATCAACATAAACAATGTAGCTGTTCCCTGAATCCAAGAATTGCGGGTTTACTACTATACATTCGTAGGGATTTGATTTTCATTGGCGACTTCAAACCATTGAAGATATACATTTAACAACTGTAAAGTCTAAATTTTCTTGACAAAGTACTGAACATTAAACTAGAGTTTGAGACAATATTTGTCTGGAGAACGTTGCCATCGAAAGCCGATAAGATCAACTCACAACAGCCGTGCACTTAGAATAGGGTGTTGCCTAGTAACTGAACAACCTAATGTCTGGGGAATTTGCTCTACCCACTTAATGTGATGATTCTAAAGAATTTTGCTCACGTTTAGCTCCTTTCTCCAATCAGGAACCGAGTTATTTTGATCTTAAGTGCTGTGAATGCTACTCGCGAGAGCGTTAAAATAGGGTTTGGCCTAATAAATCAACAACCTGATGTCTGAGAACTTTGAAACCATGCTCTATCCCACTCAATAAGAAATTTTCAAACAAATTCGCCCACGGACAGATTCACGAAAAAAGCGAAGTTTAGAAACAATCTTTGGAAGTTAAGAGCCAAAATTTCGACACCTATGCTATGTGTTAAGCTACATTTGAAATGTGTACGGAAAAGCTTACATTCATTATTTAACTTGGCTCAGAAACTTGAAAATTGCAACCGTTTTGGACTATTATCACCACGGTCCAGTGTCGACGTAGTATCCCTAAGAGCTAAAAATTCCAGAAACAGTTGCCAAATAAAATCCAACTACTCTCATTCTACAAACCTGCGATTAGAGTTGGGGCTGGAGGAGGAAATGTCCTTGTCCACATAAGGGCGGAGTCGCTCTACCAGCTGGCTCTTATTGCCGTACGTGTGCAGGTTCCTCTTCTTCAGCTCTTCCTTCAGCGCTGACACCTGCCAAGTTGATTGCGGTTAGAGTACTAAAAGCTGTAGCTTGGCTGTAGGTCACGAGAGAGGGGGAACATATTGATAGCTGTATTATTGCTTTATCGGTTGCTGTTTAATCGGTTGAAGGTTACCTTCATGTCATTAAGATGACTCTCCGACGGTGCAGTGTTCCCTGACTTCTCCTTAAGCTCGTTCAGGAGATCTAACGTCTTGGGTAGGATGTAGTTCGGATAGTTCTTCTGCATAACCTGACAATATCAATCTATCAAAAATAACAAGGGGTTTTTCTTTTCTGAGCAATATAAATAACGGTAATACTTTAAAGATTTTAAAGAGTTTAGAATCTAAAACAATTTCCAATAATTGATTGTTGATGCAGAATAAGAACAGGCCCGTCTGGTAAATAATCTTAGATTCAGATATTTCACTTGTTCAAGAGAAAAAAAAGGATGCCATCACGACGTCATAATCAATAATGGAGACTGAGCGTGATACAATCAACCATCACTATAAAATGCAAATGGACGTGTGCTGTCCTGATAGCACGTGATGCCCATATAAGGTAATATGGACGTGTGCTGTCCTGATAGCACGTGATGCCCATATAAGGTAGTACTTATAGTCCTGCCACCTTCTAGTTAGACCCACGTGTGTGCCACCACAAACCTGAAGCTTTTTGTTCATGTCATCGCTACGAATGTCTAAATGCTTAGAGTAGGACAGCAATCCGTTTTTATATTTTGTATTATTTCTAAATATTATCTATATTCAACTCAAGCTCAGTTTTAAGATTTTATATATCGGTTAATTTGGATCCTTACAGTGATCGCGCTTAAAAAATGCACACAAAAACAAGTTTTCTTGCTGTTAAAGTCCCATAAACCGGGTTTACAGAATGTATCTGACTTTAGTCTAACCTGTAGTTGAAGGAGAAGCTGCTGCTGCTTCATGATTATCTCATGAGGGGTCTCGTTCTTCTTGGCTTTGTCAGCGGCGTTCTTATCCTTCTCTTTCGATCCGGGCGGCTTGTACTCGTGATATTTGAACTTCCATACCTTGGCTTTTTGGTTTTTCCGCTGTATTGGGGCGAAGGTAGTTTGTTTGGAGACTAAGTGGAATTTAAATAGAGCTGTCAAATTTAAATCTAATTTTGCTGAAAATATATAAAATGTTGAAGCGTTCTTACAGTGATCTTGCGGGAGGACCGACAAGGTTTCTCAAGTTTATTAACATAGAAATTGTAAGTGTTGTGAAGTATATCGGTGGTAGGCAAGCAGCTGATTCGCGGTGAAGTCCCCAGAATATTGGAGATGTTCTTGTTGTGCGTGATGGTGGAGAGATATGATATCATGTAGCTAGCAGTGAGCTGCGAGTGAGTGTGCAACTTTAACATGGATCAGAGATAACATAAGTTATAAAATGAATATAATGTGGAACTTTGTGAATACGGTTGAGTGAGGTCCAGGTTGAATGAGAAAACTAACCCTAACTTTAGGAGAGTTTTTAGCGCCGGAAGCGTGTTTAGTGCGTGTAGAGTTTGAGGAGACGGACTCGTTGCTAGGGGGACCGTTGCTAGGGGGACCGAGGTCGTTTAGTCGAACTTCATCTTGATAGGATCCAAAATCATCCGAAACTTGGCTGGAGAACGTGGGAGTTAACATTGCTTTACACGATTGATGCAAGACATTTCTATTTTCTAGATTCATTGGATACTACTACTTCATTTTGACTGATTAAATTTTGCCTTTGTTACAATTTTTAAGTTTGAGTTAATAAACTATGATGATTATATATGAATTTTACTTGATAGAGTGACTATCTTAAAGTTAAATGTTTTTACAGACTCTAATGATGTAGTTTTACGAAGATTTCAAGACTTACGTTGTGTGTTTCCCTTCGTGTCAAAAAGCATTATACTACTAATTCATTAGACTCACCTCTCAGGCGACAGAGCGTTTTCAGGAGAAGCTTGAACAGAATCGTAGAAGTTCTCCGGAGAGTACTGATCTCGGTACTTGTTAAAACTGGGGTGGCGACTGTTCGCCTTGAATGCCACCTGTCCGCTCTTGATCACATTATTTAAGGGCTCTGACAGCTGCATAATGTTGTTTTGGACCAGCTCCAGCGGGCCTGAGACCATCGTTATTTAGGTAAACTGGATATTTAGTAGAGAAAGAGACAAACGAACAAATCGAGCAATTAAACTATCTTTGTAACAGCTTTAAATTTCAAAAATATTTTTAGTCTTAATGGGCTATTTCCTTGCTGATTGTTAAGCCCGACGGAGGTTTATGAGAACGAAACGCTTAGTAACTTGATAAAGATCAATTATTTGCAATTGTGTAAATTGTACAATTAATCGTTCTAATTTTGTGTTTGTCACTTGCTGCCCAAAACAATCTGCAACTAGTACAAATCATTCAATACTTAAGTAAATCGGATTAAAATCAGATTAATCAAGACCAATATATGAAAATCACGTACCTGGCCTTGTTTCGAGGTGCTGTTTGATTCCATCTCCGAGCTGGGCCTTAGCCAGCTCGTTCTGCCTGGATATCAAGCTGGGGTCCACATCTGAAATAACTACAAATCTCAACCCCATGATGTCAACGAAATGCAATCAAACTCCACAACTAACCTATACATTCCATTCACCAGTGTGCCTGTATAGGAACTAGAAATAAAATAGCTCTGAATTGATCTAAATACTAACATTTAGTTCCGGCGCTGTTTCCAGTTCGCAGAATATTGTTGTGCACCAGGCTCACTGCGTCCGGGCGCTTGACAATCTTTTTGTTAAGGAAGTCGGTAGTCTGAAAGACATACAGGTCATGTCACTGGTGACCAAAGTGATGAAATTAGACAGGATATAATATGCATTGTTGAATCGGAAACGGACATTAAATAACACTTCACACGACGGTGCTATGGGAAACACTGACCTGAGCCCGCTGCAGCTTTGCTCGACTATCATGAAATCCTGGACTTAGGCCTGAAATGTTGGTTCGTCAAACATTCACTGTTACTAATATTAAGTTTGTAATCCTGCTTAAACGCAAGTGGATTATGCATGATTAATGATATTTATTTAAATATTGCCATTATTTTCAGCGAAAACTGAAAGCCATAACTACAATCGTCTTTTTATTGCCAAGAAAATATCGCGCGTGCGCGCGTTTACCAAAACATGACTTTCACTGTCCCATCTCATATTCAATTCGTCTGAATACTTAGAAGCAAGGAAAGGTTTGCTTGATTAAATTTTGACCACTTTTAAAGAGGGTAAATTTCGTAGACATTTAGTTACCACACACCATGAGTACAGCTCACGTGTGTTGCTATAGTTACAAGAGTATTGTACTATGTCGGCTGGATTCCCGGAATTTAAGAGCGAGGAATGAGTGAGATGCAATGTATTGACGTAGCTAGAGAACGCGTGGGCTCAGTAACACTAAAACCTAACTAATATTTCAGTTCCCATTATTACTGTGAGAGGAAGGGGAATTTAGGACTAAGAGAGAATCATGTAAGGAAGCGAAGTTTGCAGAGACCTTCCACAAGGCCCCGAACAGCCTGCAAGACTACAGAGTACTTTAAATAGACTACTAGACTACTTTAACGAGAGTTTTCTTTTAAGACACTGTAATTATTGTAATGTAGTTAAAAAGTAAACTATGTTAAGGCTTAAGCCAGAGCAAATAACAATGTAACATATTCCATTATAATCCAATCATAACACCCTTTAGGCGTAAAACTAGCGCTAGAGAGCGCAGGAGACAACTAGGGTAAACACTGATTTGTTGTCACACGTGCAAACTGATCCAGGGATAAGATTGACCCTGTATTTAGAGCGCTGCTATAATACATGTAACAATGAAGGTGCTGTATATCTAGGGCAGGTCGAGCAAAAGTGCAGCGCGTGCCACAAGTAACAGCCAATTTTAAAACTGAACCAAATCTGACAGTACAAGCAAAATTTAACAGTTAAAATACTAATAACTATACATAAGTATATATATATACTATATAGTAGGTAATAAGTATATGTAGGTTAACAAAAGTAGGTGTTGCATATTTCCTTTTTAAACCAGGTTGAAAGGCTAATGAGAAACTCAACAACTAATACTACTACTAATAGTAGGGTGTATTGTGCTGGCAGTGCCAATGTAATGTGCGTCATAAGAACAAAATGTATATTTATATATAAGAACATAATGTATTCTCTCAAAAGCTTATTTTAAGAAGTTATTTTGGTTTTGGTACAGAAAATAGCGCATGTCACACCGCTCAGTTAACACGAGTACATGCAGTGTGGAACATTATCAGTTAAACCACGGATTACATCCCCTCAAATCCCCTGGGGACATCTCGTTACCTGTCAGCCCCGGCCCTCACAACACGATAATCACCATGACAACTCACTTTGTTCGCTAACAGTAGGTAGGCGGCACAAGTCTACACCACGTGACGCTAACACACACATTTGATTGGTGCTAGAGGAGGAGAGTGCTGATTGACTTATTACTACTATGTAAGTCACGTAACTATAGAAACACACGTGCAACTAACAGGGAAAGAAACTCACAAACCTCGCCCACAAAACTATAAAGCGTAAAGAAAATAATAATAATGCTGGAGAGAGAGTAGCAGGTTTCTCTTTGTGAATCACGTGATATTCTCACTGGCACGTGGTCGTGTTTGTATACCGAAACTACACTAGTGACATGGAGAGAGTGACGTTTTGAAGGGTATCTTGTTTTAAAGTAATGTACCAGTATAACAATATATATACCAGTGTCCAGTATATAGAGTATATAATATAGAGTAAATAATATAGAGTAAGTATAGATAAATATAATATCGGTACACCTCTCAGATAGGTGTACCGAATGCAGTGCACCTCTGCTGCTAGAATGCAGTGCACCTCTGCTGCTAGAATGCCATGCAGTGCACCTCTGTTGCTAGAATGCAGTGCACCTCTGCTGCTAGAATGCAGTGCACCTCTCTGCTGCTAGAATGCAGTGCACCTCTGTTGCTAGGCTGCTAGAATGCAGTGCACCTCTCTGCTGCTAGAATGCAGTGCACCTCTCTGCTGTTAGAATGCAGTGCACCTCTCTGCTAGAATGCAGTGCACCTCTCTGCTGCTAGAATGCAGTGCACCTCTGTTGCTGCTAGAATGCAGTGCACCTCTCTGTTGCTGCTAGAATGCAGTGCACCTCTCTGCTGCTAGAATGCAGTGCACCTCTCTGCTGCTAGAATGCAGTGCACTTCTCTGCTGCTAGAATGCAGTGCACCTCTAGATTCTAGGCTGCTAGAATGCAGTGCAAGGCACAGCAGCACTATTCATGACGTCACATCCCTGCTGTATATACTAATTGAGAAATAACACTCCTCGAACATGTTCCAACAAGGTACGTACATTATTGTCAGATGTTGGGTAAATATGCGCGTGTGTGTGTGTGTTCCCCAGACTTCATAAGGGTTGTAACATGGTCTGAATTTAAAGAATTTGAGGATCGAGAGCAGCAGTAGAGACCTGTTTACGAGGGAGAGGAGGAGGGAGACATGATTATTATGTGTATATAATAAGACGTTGTAGAGTACACTATTCTTGTAGCTTCATTATAATGTTAGTATGTACGCGCTAACTTTCAGACAAGTTTGATTGAATCACCGCTCACCTCCTCCCCAGACACTACTATATAACATAGTACTTCAACAATACTACACTACTACAGAGTCAGTATGTAATATAATATACATACGTTGGGGTCTATAGCTCAATCACTGAGTACCCGATTGAGATGATTATTTTTGATATGACTTGTTTTCATCACTGGTTCGAGGAAAACATCAAATAATATAAGAATGATACTCTTTTTATTCGAATGAAGGTCCAAATATGAAACATTGCTATGTTGTAAGTCCTAGCGTATGTACACTGACTTTTATCCCCCTGTATACGATACTAATATGATACTTACATAATATTAATATAATGATACTAAATATTGTACACTGTACACTGTACATAGAACATTGTACACTGTACAATGTACATAGTACACTACACACTGTACACTGCACACTGTACATTGCAGCTGTACACTGTACCCACAGAAGCTGCTAATTCTTATAGTGAGTCATTTAGGTGAAATTCAATACAAGGGATGGGGACAGTGCCAAATAGTAAATACACGATCCCACAGCATGGTGTCGACATCAAGGATAAGAAACATTAACCCAATCATTTAACGTAAACAAAGTGTTTTTATCACGTGACAATTTTGGTGCCGTCAGCCGTGGACGCAGAATCTAGCAATTTATCTATGAATTTTTATACAACTAAAAGAAGATGCGGGGTCGTACGGTTTGTTAAACTTAGTTTTCAAAACAGACCACGGCTGTTTTGACAGGTGACAAACCAAGTGTGTAACTATAGCAACACACGCACTCCCCTCTCTGTAACAAGCAACAAGGCACACAAGGAATACGGAGCATCTGTGTATAACAAGGAATACAGAGCAACGGTGTATAACGGTACACTTTGTATTGTATATATTAGGCAGTAAGGTGGGAGAGTGGGAGAGAGAGAGATAGAGGGAGGGAGGGAGAGAGACATAGAGAGTGAGAGAGGGAGAGAGAGAGAGAGAGAGAGAGAGAGAGAGAGAGAGAGAGAGAGAGAGAGAGAGAGAGAGAGAGAGAGAGAGAGAGAGAGAGAGAGGGCGAGAGAGTGGGAGAGAGAGAGAGAGAGAGGGCGAGAGAGTGGGAGAGAGAGAGGGAGAGAGAGGGAGAGAGAGAGAGATAGAGAGAGAGATAGAGGGAGAGAGAGAGAGGGAGGGAGAGAGAGAGGAAGAGGGAGAGTGGGAGAGAGGGAGGGAGAGAGAGTGGGAGAGAGTGGGAGAGATAGAGGGAGAGAGAGAGGGAGAGAGAGAGAGAGAGAGGAAGAGGGAGAGTGGGAGAGAGGGAGGGAGGGAGAGAGGGAGAGAGAGAGAGAGAGAGAGAGAGAGAGAGAGAGAGAGAGAGAGAGAGAGAGAGAGAGAGAGAGAGAGAGAGAGAGAGATAGACATGGGCTGCCAGAATACCGGCTGTTTTGACAGGTGACAAACCAAGTGTGTAACTATAGCAACACACGCACTCCCCTCTCTGTAACAAGCAACAAGGCACACAAGGAATACGGAGCACCTGTGTATAACAAGGAATACAGAGCAACGGTGTATAACGGTACACTATGTATTATATATATTAGGCAGTAAGGGGGGAGAGTGGGAGAGAGAGAGATAGAGGGAGGGAGGGAGAGAGACATAGAGAGTGAGAGAGGGAGAGAGAGAGAGAGAGAGAGAGAGAGAGAGAGAGAGAGAGAGAGAGAGAGAGAGAGAGAGAGAGAGAGAGAGGGCGAGAGAGTGGGAGAGAGAGAGAGAGAGAGGGCGAGAGAGTGGGAGAGAGAGAGGGAGATAGAGGGAGAGAGAGAGGGAGAGAGAGAGAGAGGAAGAGGGAGAGTGGGAGAGAGGGAGGCCGAGGGAGAGAGGGAGGGGGAGAGAGAGAGAGAGAGAGAGAGAGAGAGAGAGAGAGAGAGAGAGAGAGAGAGAGAGAGAGAGAGAGAGAGAGAGAGATAGACATGGGCTGCCAGAATACAGACTGTAAAGGAGCCTGTATAACTAAGGCTAACCGATAATTATCTATAGTTAAGTACAATGGTACAATGGTAATACCTTTTCTACAAGTTACATTATAGGACGCCTTGTTCGAGACAATACAACCCTTTGAAACACTACAACTAGGCCTTGTAATTATATAATGAACTTATTGTAACTAGGTTATATTAACAATATAGATTATTATGCGAATCTATTATCATGATTATGAAGAATAGTTTAATATCAATCTTAGAATCGATTCGGTGAACGGAAAACAATTTTTGAATCCGATTGTTCTGAATCCTTAGATTAGGAAACAGTAAACACCAGTCTAGCAGTTTGTAACACTAGTAGA